CAAGAATCACATTACCATATATGTAGAATAAAAATTTAAATTTCGTGTAGAAAATCCTAATAAAAAAAATACTCCATTTTTACAGAATTTTGTTATTTGTTACTAAAACGAACTTAACAACCACATGCATCTACTTCATTTTCCAAAAATTCTAGAAGAATATTTTGTACTCATTGTACCTTAAAAAAATTTTTAAAAAAAATACCTATTGACGGAGTAACGAAATCATCATCGTCTTCATCTAGATTCAAGATCGTTGCTTGTGTGTTCTTAAATTTCGATTTGAAAGAACTCGTCCTTGTATACCTCATTCTACTGCAATTTTTTTTTTCGAACGATCACAATGCACGTTCTTTGAATGATCTTCAATACTATAACACTTTATACTAAGAAAACAACACAATCTACCGCTATTTTTGGTTGATTATAGAAGATTTTCATTGATTTCGTGTTCCAAAACAGAGGGTAGTGGAATCCGAACTTATGCGTAGTTGTAGGATTATGCGGGGGAAGTTATGAAAATGGAGCAGTTTTCTATTTTAATGGAGAGGGCAAACCTACACATATACCCTTCCCGATCATTTTTCATTAAATGTGAAGACTTTTTCATTTATTTGAAATATATTTTATGAAAAACATTTTCATTTAAATATTACATATTTCATTGGCCCACAGTAATACAATAACACAATAATTAGTGTTAACAAAATAACCTAAGCTTATATATATATATATATATATATATATATATATATATATATATATATATATATATATATATATATATATATGAAACAGTGAATATATCCTACAAGGTATATAAGTTTAGGTACTCAAACCCACTATACTACGTCGTTTTTTTATCATATATGAATTGCAATGTTCTTAAACCTCAATCCCTAACTTGATTTACTTTATGATTTTCGAAATTTCACTATTATTTTTCTCTTACGTCACATCTTTTTGCTGCCAACCAGGTTATGTATATTGTAGTTGCAAATAAAAATTAAATAAAAGAAAGATAATAGTGAAATTTCTAAAATTTGTAGAAGTAAATCAAGTTAGGAGTTGAATTTTAAGAACTTTGGAAGATTATAATACTTACATGATACAAAATGAAGTAGTATGGTGAATTTGGATACCTAAACTTATATATATATATATATATATATATATATATATATATATATATATATATATATATTAAGTGATTTTTTTAGTATATTAAAATTATTTAATATTTTAATTTCAATCTTAACTATTTAACTATCAACATAATTTATCAATTTAAATATGATGTTGGTATAAACTATTATTAGTTTAATGCTACTATTTTTGAATTGTCAGTTATACATATTGGTTAATTTAAACATGATATTAAACATGTAAAACATAAATCAAAATTTAATTTTAACATTTCTCTTGCTAATCAAAACTTCTCTAAGTTGTAACGTGTCCCTCTTATAAACACCTTCATTCCACGTGTAATTTTCTCCTATTTTCTCAAAAAAATCTTCCCGCCCATTGCATTATAAACGAATTCAGACTCATTAATCAAAAAGTCAAAAGTCAAATAATTCAAATACAATCACAATCAAATCAAGATATTAGAAAACAATTTTTTTTTTGTTTCCTTTCAATCTTTTACCGCCAATACCTTCTTTGACGAATCCACACATTTTCCTACTAATCAACAAATTTGTTACCATATTATGCTTGCATTAAACTTCATTTTAAATATATCGTACATCATATCGCATAAAATAAGCAATGGTTTTTTAATATGTTTATATTTTTTCAAATATATATGTTTTATAATTGGAATTAAATCGATTACAATATTAAATTCGAATGATTTCTTTCACTTATACATTCAAAACCCCTAAATTCTTTTCCACAATTTGACGTCTTTCACATTTGCTTCGTAGTTGAAACGAAAAAGACTCTGCAATTATGGTAAAGCATCCCCAAACAACTATGTCGACTTTTTTTGTTTATCATGTATTTTTATTTTGATTATTTCTATATTCTTCTCCTTTTGATCCTTTCTGTATATGTTATCTTATAGGTAACCACGTTTAATAGATTAAAGTTTACCTATACCACCAGACATTAATTTTTCTAATTATTCAATATTTTTATATCATTCTTTGTAAACTACGTGCTATTGATTTTGTGCAGAATCTAGAAGTGCACAAAAACATTTTTTTCGGATCTGGTTTGGTTTTAAAACTGATTTGGATTTATCAACAAAGTTAAAATCGGACCTAGCCTAAACTGGTTCAAATTCAAACTAAATTTGAATCAAAATAATTCGAACATATAGGAATATGTGTGTTATGTTCATCAAGGCTTTGAATTTACATATATTTTTCATCAAATTTATATAATTTTGAATTTTTAAGTTACATGGCTGCTCCCAATATCACTTTGATTTCTGATGTTGATGCGCTGAGGGACGAATTGACACTAAAAGTTTGTGTCATAAACTTGTGGAAACATATGTCATTCTATAATGATGACATTTGATCCATTGAATTAATCTTACTTGATGAACAAATATCTTACACTCTACATATTAATGATTTTTTACAAATACACATTCATGTACAATTACTTATATAGTTTATATATATTATATATATATATATATATATATATATATATATATATATATATATATATATATTATTGGGGAGCAAATCCAAGTTACTGTCTACAAAAAATTTATGTATCGATTTAAAAATATATGAAAGGATGGGTCGGCTTTTTACATCACAAGTTCAAGTTTTACATCACAAAAGCCCGATAGTTTCAAATTAACTCCTCAATATCAAAAACTAACATTTGTCCAAGATACTATTGTTAAAGAATGTGCAGAATTTTTTGGATCTAAAATTGGATTTTCATTTGTTGACTATCAACTTGTACTCTCATTCCTACATCCTCAAGATACATCTGTTGGTTAGTTAGTATTTACAATTTTAATTATAAACTAAAAATTAAATTAATCTTAATTATGTTTATCTACTTTGTATTATCTCTTAAAATTTCAAACAACTCTTCATTCGTTTGTTTTTTTTCCTTTTACAAATGTTATTGGATTGGTAGTTGCTATTAGTGAGATGATGAGGGATAATATTGATAAGTCTCAACACAGGCTAACCATTCACATCCAAGATGCAAAGTTTGTTTTTTTATATACTTATATTTGTAGTCTATATTATGTTAACAACAACTTTTAATAAACAATTGTTGAATTTTCATTGCTTTGCAACTCCATGTAATTTTGTGGGGTGATTATGTGTACAAGATGTAATATTACATAAATAACAATCCACCAAATCAACATGTCGTTGTTATACTTCAGTTTGCACATATTACTGTTTGGAGAGGTATATTTTTTTTATTATTATCAAGACACTTTTTCATCTATGATT